TAGTTACAGCTAGTCAACTATATTTAACGCGATAGGGAAAGGAATTGTGCGTAACAGGGACTAGACAACAATGCAATGTACCATTATTATCATATCAGCCGTTTACTGTTCACTGCTGAACATAGGCCTCACCCATAAGGGGAGTTTTGCCAGCAGTTGCTATGCTTGGCAGGCGGGTTGACAACCGCAGATAGGCTTTTGGTGACATTTTAAAATGGACATTGTCGCCCATCCATTGACTATTAAGTTCCTTTAGTTATCTCTTTCAAAATCCATAGGAAAGGAAGGGGTAGTCCATTCTATGCCGGGACTACACAGCAATCCTTACTAATATTATAATTAAATACGTATTTTTTTATTTCGTATTTCTATGAAAATAATGAATAAATGTTTTATACTATTCTGAATATGAAAGTGAGTTTCTTTGTTTGTATGTGAAATCTTGGCTCCTTAACGGCTTAACCAATCATTTATACAAGTACTAAATATAGAAGTACACAGGCTATATTTTATCTCGACTAGTAACCATATTCCGGTTATGCGGACGAAGTCTCGGATAAAAGATTGTATTTAAATTATGTCGTGAAAAATCAAAATGGATTTGCTTTTTTTTTTACAAATCTATTAAATTTTTACATTACAAAGAGTATTTATTTTCCACTTAATTGAGTCCTTTATAGAATAGACACTCATATAATATATTTAAAGTTGACTTTTAATAACACCGGCAACAGCATCAAATAATTAGCGGCATATTGCCCGTAAAAGTAATAGCCAATTGAGCTTTACTATGTTGCAATAAAGTTTGTTTCTATTTGAGCGCTACGTTAGGTGTGAAACGCGTGTGAGTATCAGGATCGTAATTTTCTGGAACTATTATTTAATCTATGACTCTAAGTAATTTAAAATAAGTATAAAAATATATTGCAAAAAAGTTTCTTCTATAGTGAACAAACAGATAAATATATATCATAGATACCTACATAGTAAATATTATGTGATGGTTATTATTAATAAATTAATGATAGTGATACGGTTACACCAATCGCTTGATCCTCAAGCTGGAATATCCTGTGTTAAGAGGAACCAGGCAATGAAATTCTGATCGAATTAAAACACGCAATTACAAACAGTATTTCTTGCTTCGTAAACAAAAGTCGCAGATTAAATCGTCATAAAATTAAAATACGTACCAACAGGGAAATAAACCGTATATATCGCATAAAGAATTGTGAAAATCGGCCTAGGATTAGAGACGTAAATGCGCAATATAGCAGTAAAAAATCAGGCGAAATGAGAACCCTTTTTAATTTATTTAAAAAATGAAGTAAAGCATTTCTGTTAATCGGCTCGGCAGCTGCGGAGATATATATTTGTATTTCCTCTTACAGTCTAATAAATCCAGCAAATTATGAAGGTACTTCTGTCGTTTTATAGCGTGGGATAAGGAAGTTAAGTAAGCGTGTCATTTTATTAACATTTGTAAATGTCATGCCCATTGTTACTATGTCATCTTTTACTGTATATATTATGCACGATTTACTTCAAAAGGCGAGAACTTGAGCGTGTCGGAGTGCTTTTTACAATACCATAAATTTACTTGTCTTCATGGTAATATAAAGTTTACTTTTCGAAAAAATAAATAAACAAATTTGACAATCAAATGATGATGGACAGAAACTTATTAATTTTTGAAAAAAAGTAAGATGAAATAGTATATAGTAAAATCTATGAGTATAGAAAATAAAAATAAAATATTAATAATATTCTCATAAAAAGGTCCAAAATATGTTCGAGGAAATAAATATAAGAAGACATGGAAAACGCTGAAATGAATGTAAGAAAAAATGGGGTAAATACGAATGGCGGGCAATTCTGAACACGTTATTTTACTATGAAAGAAATTAGAGTTTTTAATTTACCATCACATAAAAAGCTATACCACATCTAGTGCTAGACGACATTCTGACGCATATTGAAATCTAAGAATAAATATTTTAAGATATTAGATGTTTCCGATGTAACTTTTTTATGTAAAACCAATTAATGCAATTTCATTTCCACGAACAGTATAATTATTATGTTTACACAATGAAATGTCTATTAATTAATGGTTCCAATAACAGGAATGCTAACAATAAATGTAAATAATAATAATTATAAACTAATGAATAACACATTTTAACAATAATTTTAAATAAAAATGGAAAAGAAAATGTAATTAAATAAAGAAGAAGATAAAACACTTGTTTGTTTTTATTATATTATTAAGTTAGGTTTTCACTTTTTCGTCGTCTACGTCCGCTTGAATAAATACCCTGTCCTGTTTACCCACAGGAAAAAAGGTGCATATGTCCCTTATGATAGATATTTTATTTTTTGTTTTCTATATAAATTCGTCTTATGTCCTTCTCTTTTTTTTATACAACTTAGAATGACAAACAAGCTGACGGCCCACCTGATGGAAAGTAGTAACCGTCGCCTTTAGACATGAGTATAACAGAGTATACTGTTTTGCATATGATACCCCTATGCGTAGCCATTCCTGAGGACTCAGGTGTTATTCCTTTGTACCCTGTAAATTTCAAATCGTTTAGACAGCTTACGCTATATTATAGAATTTTCGCCGACTTCAAATACATTTATTGTGATTAATTATTGAAAATATATTGTCATGGTCGTAGAAAACTGACGGATCTTTATATGTAATATTCGGCAGATCCGTCAGTATTCTACGACTATGACGATATATTTGCCAAAACAAAAAATAGTATTTTTTTTTATACAACTATAGCACTTAGGGATAATATACCTTTAGAACAATGAAAGAATTTTCAAAATCGGATTAATAATACCGGAGATTACCTCGAAAATCCAAACTCACGAATTTATGATTTATGACTTAGTGTATTTTTTAATAAAAAATGTGAAAATATCATTTTTAGGACGGGATTACGTGACACGTATTAAAAATTGTGCTCATGGACAGTAATCAGTCACAGTAATATTCGGTCATGGTTAACCATGTTATTTAATTATTCTTGACAGTTCGTAATTCGTCCTTACGTCATTCGCTTTGACCCGAATACTATCGTTTTTTTTTAGAACGTTATTTGTATTTAAAAAGTCAAAATTTTGAGTATTATATTAGATACTTGAATAGTAATAGTTTCTTAAGAAAGAGTAGCAGTAATTCTGTCGTTTCATAATATGTTTTCACTTAGGTGTTCGCATTTCCCCCATTTTACCTATGTACGTAGTATTTAATCAGGTAACCATGGCTCCCTTGTCAGATAAATTGTCGGGAGACCGCGAAATGTCTCATCAGACAACGGGCGTTAATTTCGACAAAGTTACTCATTTTAATGAAATATCTTATCTGTGTGGTTTTGGCGAGCAGTTGCGACATGAATACGAAATTGTATAAAATAATTTTTAAAAAGAATATAAATTAAAAGTACCTAGAAACTATATAAAATTGTATGTAAACTCTTTATTTGGCCACTTTTAACTGATCATTCTACATCATTTAAACGACCTTGATGGTGTAGCGGTTTTACATACTGTCCCACCTTCCAACGGTCGCGGGTTCGACGCTGTACAATACAATCTTGTTTATTTATGAATATATTTGTTTGTATTTATCTTTTATATCTATAATCAGTATGAATTACAAAATAAGTATACAAGTACCTATATCTTCTGTGGTGTAAATGGGAACACACTCAGTTCAGATACGAGTAACAGGGAGATGTAGGTTTGAATTTGTAAGGATCGAATTCTCGAAAGCGAAGACAAATTAGCATGCGATTGACTGATGTTAAGTGATTACCATTACCATTAGAACCCATAAAATCCGTACAATTGCATGTGTGCTGCCGGCCTTTTAATAAGAAATATGCTCTTTTATTGATGGTTGTGACGTCGTATCGGTTTGGAAATGCTGCTGCTGTGAGTTGACTCCAAACTGTGATTGTATGTGGAAAAAACTACCAATTGACAACCTTGGAACGTCACATATTAATTCTTAAATGTCCAGTAATATTTATTCAGTTACTTAGAATTCGGTGTTCTATAATTAATTAATTAATAAGACATTAATTATTATATTATTATTATTATATCTAGGTTATATTGTGTTCTGAAATACTCATAACTAAGCAATACATATATCTATATTACATATGTATACATGAAAACTGCAAATGGCAGTGGCTATTGTTCGTCCGTCCGAAGTTAGTTTCACGTGCGTCATATCGTAAGTAGAGCGATTTGACTGAATTCCCAGAAAATGTATGCTATATATGTTTATCTAAGATATTTAAGGGCAGAACCTGTATTCGACAGCGGACAATGAAACTATGAGATGTCTATCCAGAACAATACCGGTTTCTATGGCGACGGAGTAAAAATATAAATACGATGTGAATGATGGTATTCATTTTAATTCTTAGATTGGTCTAAGAGACGCTTAAGAGAAGCACAAACAAATTAATTCAGTACCACTACCACTAAGAAAAATGAAATAATCTAATTACCAGACTTGACAGCTGGGGGGAGGAATTGTTAGTAATGGAGTCTAACAGCTCCATTGCTAGCAATACGAGTATACCCTCTCAGATCCACCTCGACGCGGTTCCCCCCGGAAACCATCGTCGTTAATTCTTTTGGAATTCGTCACGATGGGCTAACGGACCTGCTTTCATCCTTACTTTATCATCTATCACTGAAGTCCAGCCAACGTATACCGATATTGCAGACGGGGTTACCATCCCATTATCATCCATAAAAAGACTTGATTGCTGGACTCGCCATCTTAGTATGGGAGGTTCAACATTTTAGGTCGCTTTTCGACAAATGTTTCTTATGTCTTTATTTTCATTAGTAAACCATTTTTTAAAATAATGCTAATGATTTTGATTTTACCCTATTTTATTTATTTATTATATTATAATTAATAAAATTACGTAATATATTTAAATAAGAAATTCCTTTTACAGGTATTGGGCTCTGACACAGAATGGCATTTCGCGCACCGGGGGTTGCCTCACGCACGCCCACGTCGGTCCATCGCACACGCACGCTTGCTCAAACAACATCCACTTGTGAGTATAAACTAATTGGTCAAGTGTGAATAGAACGAGTCTCTTAAGGGTTTCGTATTGTGTGAATGAGAAAAAAGAACATATTTATGAATGTTTATGAATGTAATAAGATGGTGAACAAGCTGACGGTTTCTCTGATATAATGTAGTAACTGTCAATTAGTTGATTTGGCTATATGGTCAGGATATTGGAAAGAAGAATTTTGAAAGAGATTTATCAAGCACAAATGAATGGAAATGGCGGAAGGGGCTACCTTTAATAGACGTACAAGTATGTGTGTCGATCAAATAGGGGATGTCCTAAAGAGAGACAAATTAAAAATACTCCTAATCAATAAGCGTGCATGAATAGATTGATGAATGTAGAGCAAGCGAAAGAGGTCTGTTTAAATCGGAACATTTAGCGTTCCGTTGTTTTTGCCTTCTCTAATAGAATAAAAGCATGACAGATATGTATGTATATTCTTTACATGAATAGTACTATGGAATAATACAAAACCTGAAAGCTATTATGTCATCTACAGCAAAATGGCAACATTGCTAAAGTCTAAGAAAAATTATCAAGTTAGATATTGAAAATATTATATATTTGTTAGAATAAATAGGTCAATAATATCGCAATGACGTTTTCATGTGATTTTAAGTTCCTATCTCATTCTGTTTAGAATTTAGAGACTTAAGACAAACAGATTTCAGGGGCACAACGGTGATTCTTCATTTCATTTCTACATAACCCTAAAAACTTTTAAAATAGTTCGAACTTTTTAAAATGTATTTAAATATCAATCTTAATTAACTGTCTAAAAGTGTGATATAGCTTTTGATCATTTCATACAAAGTGTTTTAATACGTGCCTATTCAATTTAACTTTGTTTCTAGAAAAAAAAAAAGAAAAAATCCCCAACTTTCCTTTTGTTGCGACCGTCACGGATACATTTTCGTAGAAAGAGATATAATGGGCAGTTCTTTGATGTTGTTTCCAGACAAAAAGTCTTTTGTGCGTTCAACGGAAACTGTGCCCGAACTGAATTCGTGATTACAGATCTTGAAGCACTTAGTACGCACTTGAGCATTGATAAAATTTACTATTAATAGTTGACTTTATAGTGAACATTTCTTTTTGATATTTGAATGAATGGCAAATAAGCTGACGGCTGAAGTCATGATTAGCATCATAGACATTACAAATTACACTATGGTCCTCTTTGATACTCTATGAACCGTATGTAAGCATAACTTCACACTCCTCAGGAATAGCAATCGTGTTTATCAGAGAGGATTCTGTGAAGGCGTGCATGGTGCTATTTTTATGTCTATAGACGACGGTTACCGCTTTTCATTAGGTGGGATGTTAGCTTGTTTGCTATTCTAAGTTTTATAAAAAAAAGAAGAAAATATGTACGTATGTGTATGTATTCGTGGAGTAAAATTTACTTGCTGTGTGTTTGTGTTTTTTTTTTATTCGAAGGGTTTTACTTATTGGATAATTTTACCTGTCAATATTTTCTCAAATTTGTGCCCATTATTCTCTAACTTTGAAATGAAAGCAATTCTAATACAGTCCATTATCGACAATAGATAAACATATAGAGTAACAACAAGAAGTTTAATTCCTTAAAGGTCACGGCTAAAATTATTACACTTACCTAGAACTCTTGATTTTATCGTTAAGCATTACTCGTTGCCGATAAATTCCGTGTGAAATGTTGAATAACTAAAATGATAACAAGTGCTCAGAAAATCAATTACCTCCCCTACTCCGTTCACAGACTGACCTTGTTGTTTAAATTAATATAATAATAGTCAACCGGTAGAAACTGGACACCGGGTACCTTGGCAACAAAATGGTATAAAATTGTAATTTATTTCATGTGATATTAAATCTAATCTAATCCTATGGTGGTTGACGGATTTTAATAAACCAAATTGGTAACCGACTATTGCTGGGAAATAAGTATTAAAGTTGGTCTAATTACATGTGATTCATGTCAATAGTAACAAAATCAAACATAACAAATAATATTATATCTAGCTAATCATTTAGAATCTAACAAAGGAGCTCCTCAATTTGTTTTTTTTTTTTCATGTGTACAAAGAAAAGACAAATGTCGGAATATTTTGAAAACAAAACTTTCGGTGTGTGATTCAACTCGCTCTTAACCGACTCTATTTTTTTTTATGAAACTAAGAATACCGTACAAGTTTACAGCCCACCGGATGGAAAGTGGTAACCGTCGTCTATAGACATGAGCAGTACCATGGATATAACAGGGTATACTGTTTCGCCCATGATACATCCAATGCATTGCCATTTCTGAGGACTCAGGTGTTATTCCTCTGTACCCTGTAAATTTACGCCATATCTCACTCTTCAAACCGAAACACAGCAATGCAAACACAACTGCTTCACGGTTGAAACACGAATGGCACATAGGTACCCAAGCAAACGACTTTTGTACAATGTCTGGTAATTATAATATATATTCTGGTTTTTATCATTGCTTAGTATGGTATATTACACTTTTACGTCACGTTATAATAGGAAAGTAAAATATATGTAATTACAGTGAAGGCTCTTTTAATTTTCCGACTAGGGTAACGTCATAACGATATTGTGAACGTGCACGGTAAATTAAAAATATTCAGGCGTAGTGAGACGTTAGGGACTGCATTAATATGTACAATATAGTTTTTCATTCATCATTTAGTAGTCACTGTTACTTTATTTAGTTATCGATATTATTACAATATGTTTAATATACAGTTTTTATAACTTTACGCTAATTACTGTTTCTGCGTACCCTAATGGGAGATGGGCGTAACAGATATTATATATATATATATATATATATATATATATATATATATATATATATATATATATATATATATATATATATATATATATATATATATATATATACGCTAATTACTGATATGTAAATATATTGAAGCTTGTGTAAACAAAAACATTTTACCGTATTATGAAATTCCATCACGAGGTCATAGTGCAAACAGTGAATTGTATTAATATATTTGTTTTTTAATTTAAATAAAAGGTCCAGAGGGAGAATTTGCATAAAACTTGTCTCTTTGGGCACTTTGGTCCCACTGGTGTTTCATATGACGTAAAAAAAAGGTCACTGTAGACTTATCAGTCGACAACCCTCGAATTGAAGACCGGTAGACAGCAGAGGTCGCCAGTTCGGAGGCCGGCCACATACTCATTTGTTGCAGTATCCGGCCGTTTATTTACCTTCTTAATGCTCTTCAAATATTGCATCTAAATTGCGCCCAATATCTATTCTCTTGTATAGGCATTCCGTCACCCGTATCCAATAGCGAGGACAGGATGCCTTAAATACTGTACCGCAAACCGTAACAAATAAAAATTACTGGGTAACTTGCCGACTGGATTAACTTATATAGAAGGTTGGCCGCATTGCCACGTTGAATAGCGATAGAGATGCATTGGCTAAAATATAGGCCGGTCTTCTCATTGCATTGACAGTTTACTTCTTTCGATGAACCTCTTTGAAAAGACCCAATGGACTCGAGGTCCTCGTTCGCAGTGTCTCGACTTAAAACGCCGCAAATATTATATCGATCCTTAAGGGATGAATACCTGATAGCCTCTTGGTGTGTTGTGGTGGCATCAATTCTTTTATTATTAATATTATCTTTTATTTTCAACCGACTTCCAAAAAAGGAGGTTCTTAATTCGTTTGTATTTTTTTATGTTTATAACTCACTCATTTATGAACCGATTTGGATTTTTTTCTTATATGTAACGATATATTTTCAGTATAATCTCATAGTACTTTTGTCAAAGTCGGTTTAGTATGTTAGTTTTTAAATCTAAATAACGATTGTGGCCACGATTGAAGTAGATGATTTTTTGTGGAACAAAATCTTAAATAACTATATTAATTATTCATCTATCTATTCATAAACGATTGTCTAGAGGTCATGGTACAGTCTTTGACTGATAAAGCGTCTCTTCGAATTAATATCAAACATGTACAACTTAGGTGTTCTAAAATTTGATACATCATAGCAAACGCACAATGAATATTAAATATCTAACATTCAGAACTGAATTTAATCTAACTAATATGTTTTTTTATGGAAAATTTGTCAAGATATTTCGATGTTTATAGGATTAGATGTTTGTAATTAAATTTTGAATAAAAAGGATATGAGTAAAGTTGAGATTGTTTTAGATAGATAAAATTTTTACTTGTAAAGCCATGGGAAAGATAAGTTCAAAAGACACGAATCTTATTAGCAACGAATAATTAGACAGTACCGCAGTTGACATATTTGAGGTTTGTTGAATGTTAAACTAAACTTTCTTAGCTTCAATAATATTCAAGATATAATTATAAATCATAAAATTTTTACCTTATGGGTACTTGTAACGAAGTGTGTAAATTTTGTCAAAAGTGCTTTGCTAGTAAACTCAAATGCATATGCTATATATCATACAATAATATTCTTATTAAGCTATCACTGGATATTTAGATTTCTACGGTAAAAATATATTTACCTAAATGGTCGCGTACAACGCGGTTTCAGAGATGTTTTCTCCCACGAACACTCAGGTTACGGAATGAGCCGAATGTCGAGGTTTTCCCAAGAGGCTACAGCATGGGGTTCTTCAAAAGGGGGGTAAAGAGGTTTCTTTAAGGTCGGCAACGCGCGCGTAATGCCTTTGGTATTGCAGGCGTTCATAGGCTACGGTAACCGCTTACCATCAGGTGGGCCGTATGCTCGTTTGCCACCTCAGTGGTATAAAATAAAAAATATATTTGAAAAATTCCTAAACAAAGTATGATGTAGGTGCAAACTTTTTAATGATAGGTTTATATACAATATTTTTTTATGATTAAAGTTTTAATTTGTTAGCAGAGCACATTTTAAAAAATCAGTTAGCTACATTGAAAAATGTTAAATATTTTTTTAAATTGACAAATTATTGTGATATTGCAACACTTCTGTAAACAAAAGTTATGAATGTTCTTAAAGCAATACTATGAAGTTATGTATTTATCAGTGGTCATGACAAAATGACATCACTTGTTTATACAAAAATGTTTGAGATATAACAATGATTAATGTAAGTATTGTATCTATGGTTAGTTTTGCACGTAATATCATAAAAATGTGGCCACACATTTGTCTATTGTCATATGTCTACTAATATATGTGTGAAAAGCGTTCTCCATTGTCGTATTTTTAATCTCAAGATATTTAAAATCCAATTTGATACAAAACATCTTTTAATAACAACACGGCTACCAGTTTCACATCGGAAGATCAATCATTCGTTAATCTCGACTGGCGCGTTATTCCACTTTCTGACATTAATGAATTATTGTGGCAAGAATTGAATTGCAGTATTGTGGTCTCGGGTTAATTATAGAAAGTCAATAATGTTGGAATTAACTGCCATAATTTTCAATTTGTCCGTAATTCCAACCTCAATGCAACTTAGGGTCAAAACCATGAAGAATGACAATCTTATACTGGATATACCTATTAAGCGATATCTGCAACAAATCTGAATTGATTTGATTTGGTTTGATTCATTTATAATAAAAAGGCTTTTCCATATTTTGATATTTGAAGTCGTTTTTCGCTGTCGAATATAAAATTTATTCATATTTACGTTACGCCAAACGCTTCAATTACAATAATTTGAGGGAGTTCACAAAAGGGAACAGCGAGTACAGTCATGATAAAATAATATGTGGGGAAAAAATAATAATATATTTTTTCATGTCTCCTCACAAACAACTTACGTAGATTATACAAATGTGGGTAGTATTTTGGATAAAAAAAACAGCTATGACAGCTACTGTTTGAAATAGGCCACCAACTGACATGTGTTTAAATTACAATTAAATAAAATACAGAACTTTAAAATTTTACAATCAAAAAGAATATTAATAAACATTAGTTTTTGGTTCTAATTAGTAATTAGTTCTAAAAATTTGTGTAAAATATTTTGTCATAAATTAACTGTGTTGTCCCGGTACAAAATAGGCCACCCCTTTCTTTCCTGAGTGTCGTAAGAGGCAATTAAAGGAATTTAACAGTAGAGGGATGGGCAGCAGCGTCCCTTTTAAAATATGTCTAGAAGCCTAACTGCGGTTGCCAGCCCGCCTGCCAAGCGTGGCTACTACAAGCAAAACTCTCCTTATGGGGAAGATTTGTTTTCAGTAGTGAACAATTAATAGTTGAAATGATAGCTTCAGATAATAATCCTTACTCATCATTATTATCGTCATCCTAACCTTATCCCAATTTTTATTTGGGGTCTGCGTAATATGTATTTTTTTTTTATACAACTTAGAATGGCAAACAAGCTGACGGTCCACCTGATGGAAAGTGGTAACCGTCGCCTATAGACATGAGCAGTACTATGGACATAATAGAGTATACTGTTTCGCCCATGATATCCCCCATGCGTTGCCATTCCTGAGGACTCAGGTGTTATTCCTCTGTACCCAGTAAATTCACGCCCTTCAAACCGAAACACAGTCATGCAAACACAACTGCTTCACGGTTGAAACACGAAAGGGACAGAGGTACCCATGCAATCGACTTTTGTATAAAGTCTCCCTCTTTTTTATCCATATTACAAAAAGATTTGGCTTATAGTTTCACGACCGGTCACCTGCCTGACGTCAACCCTCTTTGGGAATAATAATATTACAAATATGAAAGGAAATTTGTTTGTTACCACTTAGTGGTCAATGGCTCAGTTAGTCGTCACGAAGTTTGAGATAAGTGTAATATTTGAAATAATGAATTAAATGGGCTATTTTTAATCCCGGTCAATTAATATATCCCGGTCATGCGGACAAAGATGCGGATTGTTAAAAATCGTTACCAGGATATAGTTTTTACAATTTGCAACTTTGTTTGAAATCTTTGATTAAATATATATTTACTAATTACTATTCTATTAATATTATAAATGCGAAAGTTTGGAATGATGAATGGATGTTTGTTACTCTTCCACGGACAAACTATTGAAAGGATTTGAATAAAATTTGGTATACAGGTAGGATATATCCTAAATTACAATAGGATATATTTATATACTGATTCACGCAGATGAAGTCGCGGAATATACCTATATATTTTATATTATTACATTTTTATTATTTTTCTTTCACCAGGTCCATACGGCGGTACAGCAGACGGGGTTTAAGCGGGTGAAAAGAGGTTTCCGCCCGCTTCGCTTACCAGAAACGGCACCAGCAGCAGAGCCTCGAGATCCATACTTTCCTTTACAATGGTACTTGAAGAATACGGGGCAGAATGGGGGCAAGCCTAAGCTTGACCTCAATGTAGAGGCGGCGTGGTCACAGGGATATACCGGGGTGAATGTGACCACTGCTATTATGGATGACGGTGAGTGTAACTAGTATATAGTTTTTTTTAACTTATATTATTATCCACGTCTTAATAAAAATAAATGGCAAGATTAGGCTTTATAGTTTTCTGAATAGTTATACATCAAAACTCGTTTTCAGATAGACTTTAAACAATCATATGAACAATGCGAAATAATAATCTAGATATTTAAAAACATATTACAATATTTTCAAGCATTTAGTTTTATCTTGAAATGTTTCTAAAACAATTTGGTATTTATAAACAAATTCATAACATTATATAGAAGATATTTGCGCAAGTATGTACCTAAACATAATTTTGAACAATTAAAATAAATAAACTATATGATTCAAGCAAAAAAATATTTTTTTTTATTCAATATATTTTGAAAATACTACACAATATATCATATTACTTAATATTAAATATTTTCTTGTCACAGAAACACTTTAATTTTTAGTTTTAAATTAAAGAAGAAATTCCTTAATGTGTGACACGTAATTAGCAGGTAAAGATAGCAAATAATTAGGTTATTACTTTTCTAAAATACTATGTACTAAAATAAGCGTTTACATTGTGAATCTTTACGTGGGCAAGTCTCAAAGTCGGTATCACAGTGTACATATTAATACAGCTGGCAATAAAGACATTTTAAATTTGAGTAAGTTCTTATATTTAAATTTACGTTCTCATAAAAAACTTTTTAATGTCACAGGGAAAGAAAGCTTGTAAAAAGAACGAAATTATAATGCCTAAATGCCTATTTAGTTCCTTTAATATTTTAATAAAAATAAGGTAGTTTAACACTCAAATACAGACAATTTAAATAGATAGTAAGTACGTGAAGTCGTAATTAAATTGACACAGAAAAAAAATTAAGATTCAGTTCCATTAAGATTGACTTTAATAAAAGAAAAAACAATTAAAAATTCATATATAAATAAATAGAAAGTACCTGCGATATAAATAATTTGTCACTAAAGAACAAGTAATAAGATTTAGTTCTACAAAAACTGACTTTTAATACAAAATAATTTTAAAATTAAATTATTATTGCAGGATATTCAGGAATTTTGAAATATCGAATTTATGGAGAAACATACATTTTGAATACATATTTATTTATATTATATACAGTGTTTTAGACAAAATAATGTTATCTTCTAGAATAGAAATAGATGTAAAATACAAAAAGAAATGTTTAACCATTTTGGTACAAAATGTGCAATTTATTTCTATTTTTTGTAACAATATAATAATCTTAAATTATACATTTTCCACACGCACCCACATCATATTATATTTATGGCGGCAAGTCACCTGTCATGAATTCATTTACCCACCGCATGAGTTATCAATAAAAAAAATCATTATTTTATTGAAAAAAGTAACATTGCGATTGCGGCATTTTATCTCTATTTTTATTTTACTTAGTTTTTTTTTGCTGTCGTTGTTTGTGATACATGGCCACAGAATATCAGCGCTGTAGCAATTAATTCGCTGCTGCACATGCTGATGGCGACCACGTTGGCAATAACAAATGTAAAGTTTGTTTTCTATTGATAATTAATATAACTCTTTTTGTTGTTGGCAATAAATGTTGTCTTTCTTTCTTTCTTTCTTTTCACAAGTATTGTTCTGAAAATAAAAGAAATTTTTTTTTCAACAAATTGTTTTCCTGAAATGTGTCTCTAATTTATTTTGATCGATGCTCAAATAAACCAATAAGTATATAATCTTACTAATATAATAAAATCATAACTAAACGATGTTTATACAACGAAGATATTTAAGAAAAAATAATATGAAAGATCTTAATAAGAAAGACACCAAATAATAATTTTTAGAAGTTTTGTCTATCTGTCTGTTTGACTGTATGTTCATACCGGCACCACATAAAAACTACTTCACTAAACTATACGTGGTTTTCACAGTCAAATTCCTAAAGTTTAACTTTAAAACTGGTGTATGTTTTATCTCGATACACCATTTAGATTTCTGTTTCATTGGTTTTTCAAAGCCAAGGGCTACGGTAACCACTTACCATCAGGTGGGCCGTATGCTTGTTTGCCACTTCAGTGATATAAAAAAAAGCCAAAAAGCTATAAAATAAAAGAGCAAAAAGCTAGTATTTAATAAAATAGCAAAAAGTTAGTATTTAATAAAAGAGGAGTATTTCACATCATCAATTGTCTATTGCCGAATATAGGCCTCTCCCATAAGAGGTATTTTGCCAGTAGTTGCCTTACTTGGAAGGCGGATTTGCAATCGTAGTTATGCTTTGGTAATGTTTTAAAAGGAACGTTGCTGTCTATCTCTCGACCACTAAGTTCCATTAGTCGCCTCTTACGACACCCACTGGAAAGGAAGGGGTGGCCCGTTTTAAGCCGGGACAAAACGGCGAGTAGTTAGCTATAATTCAGCTTGAGTGGCTAAATTACCATTTAAGAGGAGAGCTGTAATTTCCAGCTGTGGAAATAGCTAGTTAAACTTATAAATATGAATGTGACGTTGTTTGATGATCTTATGACGTCTTAATTGCTTAATTAATCATTATCAATTTCATATGCATGTCATGTTTGATATATAGAGTACTACTTATGGCGATTAGTTACTAGTTATGTTATGTACTAGTTTATTTTAAACTTTCGCGTTTATACATATTTTAAATACACAATAAGTACTTAACGCGATGAAAACACTTTTACAGGTAAATAGCATCTACAAACCTACTGTTTTTTATTTTTTTTTTATTTATTATTATAGTCCTGACGTGACCACAACATATGTGTAATCCACGTTAAAACGTCGGCAATAAAAAAGCAAGTATGTAAGTACTATTGCAAGTAGCAAAGGATTTTTCAACGCGTTAAGTCCTGATTATGTAAAATATGGTATGTACTTTCAACCGAGTTGATATGAGAGTACCTATCTGTAATGTTGTTTGTTTGTTTCAGGCGTGGACTACATGCATCCAGATTTAAAGTACAATTACGTAAGTATGAGTTTTATTACATTCATTGAATAATAACTATCATAAGTTACACTGTATTATAATTATTTATATCGGCTTTACTTATTATTAACTAAGGGATTGGACGACTAGTTTCTTCGAACTAGATAGGAGCCCTTAATTTACATTATTACATTTATTCACAAATGAGACTTAGATATGTTATAATTTTTCTCACCGCATAATAAAATTTCTGTTTAGCCAAAGGTTGACTGGGAGAGAATGCTATATAGTATTAAGTCCGCCTTTTATACCAGATATTTTTTTGTAATGTGGTCAATAAAGAATAAATAAAAAAAAAAGGGCCGTATCTACTTTTTTATTGTAAATTTACGTGTCTAAAGCTATGGAATATAGGTAGTATATTTATTACAATTAATTTTCCAACTGGTTATTAAATTATAAAGGCAAAAGTAATTTTTATTTAATTTAGAATAGTAATTAAGCTGGCCGTAACTTATAGGCACGAAATAAAATATGCCATTTGCACAAGGCAAAAATACAAATAGGATAGAGAATAGAAGCAGACGATTTTTCTATAAGGGTTTTCATTATCTACTAAGAGTCAAAATTAGTGTTGCCAGATAGGGATTGCAATTTTGGGCAAAAAATTTTCTATTCTCAAAATTTTGGAGTAAAGTGAAATAAGTTTGGATAAAATTGGATAATTTTTTTAACAGTTTTGTTACTTTTAAACTGTAGAGCAGTATATAATATTTATTAATGAAGCTAGAAAAAAACAAAAGGTGGGATAAGACAAGTAAACTAAAATTAGAAACATACAGAAAAGTAGGTTTTTACGACGTTCACGATTTGTATAGTGGTTTTTTTTACGATAATCGAAACAGATTTGAGATTGAGATAACAATCAGAAATATTATCTAGTAAATCTGATTAAAATTGTGAAGTTAAAATCAGAAAGAAGCATGATTTACAGTTATAACATTTATAACTCTCCTTTCCTTGGAAACTATTTACCACTCATACACAATCAAATACAAAATTTTGAGCCAGAACTCCAGCCAACTTCCATAAAGAGTTTCTGTTGTGTTATCACCTAATTCTCCAGATTTGTTTTACGCTTGAATTTTAAATGGAAATGTCTTATTCATAACCGCCGAGCCATCATAATATGGTAAATAGCTCATTTAAATGATTTTCATGGTTTGTAAAAAGACTTATAACTTGTTGTAAAAATATAAGCGACGTTTCTCAATGATGGAACAAAATTGAATTAATATTTTGAAGATTTTTTTATACCACTGAGGTGGCAAGCAAGCATACGGTCCATTTGATGGTAAGCAGTTACTGTAGCTTATAAACGCCTGCAATACCGAGGGCATTACGCGCGCGTTGCCAACCTTGAGAAAACCTCTGTACTCCTTTTTTGAAGGGCCCATGCCCTGTAGCCTTTTGGGAAAACCACGATTGGGAGCTGATTTCATAACCTGAGCATTCATGGAAGGAAATATCTCTGAAACCGCGCTGTACGCGACTATCTAGGCTGTAAGTTATGGTGGTGAATTCGCTGTCGATTGTATAGATATTTTTATAGTTATAAACTTATTACTTATTGGTTTTATATAAAGGTTTCAGGTTCGATTCTTGGTTAGGACAATGTTAGAAATTAATGTATTTGTGGTCCCATTTATTAATGACTTTAATTTGTAAAAAGCTGGACGCGATAAATCATCGATCTCTGATGAATTCAGTTAACAGCCTGTGAAATAACATTGACATGAAATAAAGAATGTGTTATTATTTCATCTATGCTTTAATTATGTGGGAAGAGAACAGCAATGGTACGCTAATAGGTTATGGTAAGAAAGTTTTGGTATAATTTAAACAATTTGCTGCATAATTTGATAGATTAAAAATTTATGTTTCTTAATAAATTAAGATTTTGTTTAACAAGCCTTGAAATATAAGTTTTTATAATGTAATCCGCTATCTTGTGGCTATGGACATTTTAAAAGATATTATTTAATATATCGTTATATATTTTTCAAGCTCTTTGATACCCATATTAATAACGTTGTCAAAATATACGAGTATGTCATCGCGTAGCAGTTTTAAAATATTACATATTACCCCAGAACTAAAGGTGTTTGCAAAATTCAGCTTGCAAGACTTGATATAAACAAATATATATTGCAATAAATAAAATATCGTAAAAAATAAACCTTATTCATTTTAATACGAGAATTATATTTTTCGATGATTACGCCCTTTCGATAATAAAGAATCAGAAATCGATTCGGTATTGGCAAAGATACCGCACTTTTTTGATGTCGGTTGGCAATAATAACTATAATTGTAAGTTCAACAACTGTTTATGTTATTACAGTGCCCCGTTGTTTTTGTTTTCATTAGCACAGTCTATTGTTTCTGTGTTTGTTCTGTTTTTTCTTTGTTACGTTTAATTTGTTTGAAAATTTACTCTTATTTTATAAAGATAACATTAACTCTTAAGTCTTTATTGTGCACTTTTCTTTATACAGTGAACGTCGTAGCTTGATAATTATGAAAAGTCAGACTAATAACCATTCTATTGAGCATTTAGCTATTTAAAGTACTTAGTTTCAAAGCTTTGTTTGTAAAAACTTTAATTGTTTAACCAATTTAAACCTTATATTTTTATCTGCTTTTTTATACTACAATGTTTTTGTAAATATGTAAAGGTAGATAATAGAAAATAACGTAAATATGATGGAAAATGGTATCTGTGGTCTTTGGAACATCACAAAGATTTTTTTATGAATATCACGACAACCGTTACCTCTATTAGTATAATATTATTTATTTATTAACACTTTATTAAACCTATACTAATATTATTGAGTACATAAAGAGAAGACAGTTTAAAGCAATTTTAAATGCAAATAAATGTTTATTTATTCATTAATTAGAAGTATGGAAGTAATTAGTCATTTCAAATATAATATATATTGTTCTTAAATAAATTGAATTGAAAACATTTTAAACTTAAAAATCACAGCATCATATAAGTCGTTAATTGTGCACTTCGGAACATAGGCCTTCCCCTTGGGAGGTTATGCCAGTAGTTGTCATTTTGGTTGGCGGGTTGGCAACCACAGATAGGCTTTGGTGACTTTTTTTTTATACAACTTAGAATGACAAACAAGCTGACGGCCCACCTGATGGAATGTGGTAACCGTCGCCTATAGACACAAGCAGTACCATGGACATTTAACAGGAATGCTGCTGCTCATTCATCAAACATTAGGTTAAAACTGAATGTAATTGTACGCAGTTAGGCTTTGGTTTTAAAAGGGACGCTGCTGCCCATCTCTTGTCTATAAAGTTAAAATTTAATATGCTCGTGAATTTCCACCTTCACGACAATCAACAGTTACACGAACTTTTTGACTAACAAGTACCTATCTTGAGAATGTTTACGAATGTTTGTTTTGTTAGTAACTTGGGATGTTACAGAGTCGTAAGGTTGTCGCATACCTAATTAATATTATGGAAATGGGAATGACTTATTTGTCAACATCTGAGGTATGCAGAAGTCAATTATACGAGAAATATAATGGAGTTTTTAAAATAGAAAAATTAAAGTTTATTTAATTAAAAGTATAGTCCCGTCATAGAATTGGTCACCCCTTCTATTTCAGCGGGTGCCGTAAGAGAAAACTAAGGGAACTTTATGGTCAAGGGATAGGCAACAGCATCCCTTATAAAATATCACCAAAGCCTAACTGCGGTTGCCAGCCCACCTGTCAAGTGTGGCAACTATTAGCAGAACCTCTTTTATGGGAGAGACCTATATTCAGCAGTTAAAGGCTGAATATAGGTATACAAACTTTTGTGAACACGATGTTAAATTTTATTTATAATAAAATTACCGTGTCTCAAAGTTCAGTTATTATTTTCCAAAGTCGATTAACCTGTTTTATTCAAATTTTATAATACGTGTTGCTCCAATTGTTGTTATCTCGATGGAAATGAACCCTGTAGGTGGCGTTAGCGGGCAGCTATGTTTTTCAGGTCAATTAGTAACGTATAATTGTATCTGTATAAGTAATATAAGATGTTATCCCCTTGGCAAAATCGATTGGAATGCTGACATTAGTATTCGCATAACAAAACCAATACGTGAATAAACAATCAAATTATTTAAGATTGTGTTCCACAATGAAAACCGTCTTCAATTGGAAAAAAACCGGTCATTTTGTTTTAAAAACTAAACTACTGAATCGATTGTAATAAAATATCTACTCTGTAAGTAAATCTGATCTGTAAGTCAATTCTATCAGATAAAAAAAGAATTTTCCAAATCAATTTATAACTGACGGATTTACGAGATAACAAATATTAAGAAAAGTATACAACCACACTGAGAACCTCTTTCTTTTTAAAGTCGGTTGAAAAGTATCACAGTATCAAACGTAATTGATGAAGATACTGCGTATACTCGTATACGCACACAGAAAATCCACTTGAAATGAAATCTCCATTTTGCATTCATATATGTTTCCTTTTGTTACAGTATTAAGCAATTCCCCATCGCATTTGAATCATGAATTCATATCCATCCGAGCGGTAATGTACAAATATATACGTATACAAAGAGAATTGTCCAAATCAAAACCCAATGTCGGCTCTCCTTTTGTTTACTGATTCCCATTGAACGATTCATTCACTTCTGACCGAAATAATTTGTGGAAAATTATTATGTATTAATTAAATATTTATTAAATGAAATTATCAGACCTATCCGCGTCACTTCGCACAAAAAGCGTTTACATGAAATTTAAGCAACCATTTAATTGAATTTGTATATATTATAGGCTATAAAGTAGATAGGTCGTTTACAATAGATATACATATCGATATCGATATTTCGGACAGAGGTATAATATAAACAGCTGTACATCACTACAAATATCAGATACACACATATTAATACACCTATATTAATTTATTTTATTATATTGATATTTAAATGGTTGGAT